TCTCCAAAGGTAGTTGGAATGAGGGGAGGTAGTGAGGTGCAACTGAATGATGCTTTGATAGTTTCCTGGAGGTAGAGGTAACAGGCTTAGAGTTTGATTGAATTGGGGACGAGCTGGGAGCAGTGGGGGCAGACTCAGGACTATGGCTCAGAACAAGTGGCATTGAGCATGGCAGCGTGGAAGAGGACCTGGTTGAGGGGGGCAGAGCCCTGGAGCGCCTTCTTCCTACCTCACATTTGACCATAATTCTGAATCCTGGCCTCCACTGGCCCTGTGCTTTTGTCTCTAGGAGAAGGGGTCTGTGCTTGTCGCAAGGAGGGGTAATATTTTCTTTAAACTCCAACATTGATTTGGAGTCTGGAGGTGATTGGATTGTATGTGTTGGCCAAAAGGCTTTTTACATTCCTGCCAGAAGGCAGCAATTTCTCTAGATTCTTGTCAACACTTTTGTTTTCTGGTTTTTTTTTTTTTTTTAACAGTAGTCATCACATATCCTAATGGGATGGTGTGATTAGTGAGGTTGAACATTGATCAAATGTTTTCCATCAGAAAGCATCTATTTTCTGGGCAATCAGAAAACTGGAAAATGAAGATGTTGTGTGTGGGGGTCAGGACAGACAGGGAGGCCCACGCAGTGGGTGACTTGGCCACACAGAGGGCATGAGGAAATCCAACATAGGCACGCAGCAGGCTGTCAGTACAAGAAAGAGCATTGACAGGCAGTCCACTTATGGTGCCATTGACTGGAAGTCTTTGTAGAAGCTGATTGTTTTTTGTTTAATTATTGAATTGATATTTTCAGTTTTGGTCAGTAGTGAAGAATGGGCTGGTGAATGCCCAGGTCTACCTCATGAAATCAACCATGCAATCTGGGGTTGGTAAACATGAAGGAAGAGCACATCAGCCTAACATTTTCCAAATTCAGATGAAAATATAGGGCTGGCTATAGAAAACAGGAAGTGAGAGTCTCAAATGTCATTCCAGAGTCATTGCCATGAAGGGAACAGGAGGGCTTTAAAGAGAGTAAGCAGCACTGTAGAGGTCAGGAAGGATGGGAACGGAGACAAAGTCAAGACTTGGACCCAGGAGGACGACCAGCGATATGGAAGGACCTGGAGGACTGGTGTCAGTGAGGCAGTGCCCAGAAGAACCTGAGATGATCCTGAGGAAGTGAAGACAGTCTCAGGTGGTGATGGTGCCAGTAATGTGACCTGGAGCTCTCTGCTCTCCTTGGATTTTGTATCTGAATGATGTGGAAAGACCATACAAGACAGTTGTGCTCTACTTTCAGTGTGTCATCTGGGCCAAAATGTTTTCTACAGGCAGAGAATTTGGATTTTGCCTAGGATACCTCTTTGCATGCAAGTATGTCACTCAACCTCAGGTCTCACTTATGTGGGCACCCATTGCTTAGACTCTGGACCCATGACATCCAATCCCACATGTAGTCTGGGGTCTCCAAGATGTAGTTAGGCACCTTTTGACATTGAATCCACCCCGTCTTAGGAAAGGGGTCATCAACTTCAAATGCACATCTCCACTGATGGGGAGCTCAGTTCTCCCCAAGCCGCTCACACCATGTGGAGGGTACTAATCATCAGAGATGCCTTTCTCACAGCGGGTGTGTGGGTCTCCCTGCAACTTCCTACCCAAATGTGTAAGTGTCCTTTTTCTCTCACCCATGGCAATGCTGTAGAGACATGAGATATCGATGTATCTCCCTGAAAGTCTTCTCCTTTTCAGTCCAGAGGCTGCTAGCATTTCTAACAGTACAATGTGCAGGTGAATTGCTGGGAATCCTGTGAAAGTGCAGATTGAGATTCAGTTTCTAGCTAGTTCCCTGGGCTGTGGAAACTGCTGGTCCTTAGCCCCCCACAAACTGAGAGCAGCACCATGCAGGGGGGGGGAGTGAAGAATATCCACCTAGAAGTGTGAGGGGCCTGACTCCCTGCCTGGCTCCCCCCTTAGTAGTCGTGGGGAGTTACTCCACATCAAGGTGTCTTTTCTTCCTTGACATGAAGGTACCGAAGGGTACTTCTCATTTTGTGGTGAGGATTGACATCAGGCTTAAAGCTCTCCTCTTAGGGGCTGGCACATAGCACGTGATCTACAGTGTAAGCTCTTGGTCATTTTTTAATGAATAACCTTAGGACCTTTGATTATTCCCTTGAGGTACTCTATATTCATGTCCCCTCCCCATTAGATACTTAGAGTGGCTATAACTCAGAGTAAAGTGTCAATACACTAAATAGAAGATACAGCCATAGACTTTATCTACAATTTACATGAACTATATGTTTTTACAGTTTTCAGCACAAATCTTATTTAAATGCAATGGCAGAAATAGCAGTTTTTTTCTGGGAAACTCAAATCAGTGAAATGCCAGTTCAGAAACTGAAGGATATATCAACAAAGATCTATTCTTGGCGGCTACACTGGTTCTACTCTTGTGCCAGTTAAAATTGTTTATGAATAATTAGCCAAGTCAATATATTTTGATATGAAAACACAAGTCTATTAGTATTTAGTAAATGTCATTTTTGTTTGATAGATTAAATCTGGGGAAATTCTGCTTTTTTTTTTTTTTTCATAAGCTGATGTTCTATCTTGTGTTTCCTGAATCAGTTCAAGCATCATTCCCCATACAAAGCCTTTTTTTTTTTTTTCCTGTGCTGAGCTAGGTGTTCCTCAGATACTTCCTAAATTACTTACCACATGGGATTGTAATTGTCTTTCTTCCCTGCTATAACTTAATATAACACATCTTATTACCACAGTTTCTTCAGTATCCAGAGAAGTGCCTGGCATAGAGCAGGAGCTCTGAAAATATTTGTAAATGGAAAGGAGAATGGGGGTGGGGAGCTACAAACTATTCCCCTATCCCCAAGTAGAAAGAGAACATCATTTGCAAATGAACTGGTGTTCAGTGACTTTTGTCCCTTGGAGGCATTATTGCTTCTTGGGAACACAACACAGAACTTGGCTGTAAGTGACTTGAGTTATAGCTGACTTGGCTGGAGGATCCCTCTTCTCTGATGTGAGTGGACGTTGCTTTCCGCCAGATGCCCTATTCTTTTGCATCCACAGGAGCAAGGAGGCCTGGGGAGTTGACTCAATCTCCAAATATCTCTGTGCTTTCAGTTTTATCAAGAGCCCTGCTTATATTGCTTCTAAGACACAAGATCACTGCTTCCCCAGACAGAAGCTTTCCTTATGTAAACTCATATTTTTCATTGTGGAAAACAACTTTGGTTGTTTCTTAATGAGGGGCTCTTCTTTTGTTAGCCAATTATTTTCCTGAGCTCTGAGAGTTTTGAAACAAGGCAATACTTTTCTTACTTTAGTGAGATGAAAAGAAGGTATAAAGGATGCTTAGCGATTTGGTGGCTGAACTCAGATCACTACTTACTCTTGTTACTTGCACCCCAACATTGACTCATGGGATCCAGGTTTCTCTGACAATGATTTGCCTGCATTCCTGGCTAATTGTCTAGTTGACTCACCGGGTGTAGACAAATCTAATGGCCTGGGGCTGGGAGTTGTGTAGTTTTTCACGATGAAATTAGAGAGTGGCTGTCAAAGCCCCTCTATTTGTGCACACCTGGGAAGGGAAGCAGGGGTGTGGTAAGCTGCATGCCTTCCCATCTTTCCAGCGTGGAGATGGTATCTTTGCTGAAAGAACAAGGATGATGCGTTTTGTGTGGTCCCCTGGGATGCAGGCGGCATGGTCCCAGCAACTTCCTTAACAGCCACCCTTTCCGAACCAGGAAGGAGGCGCTTTCTGCCTCTGTCTTTCCCACAGCACAGGAACTAAGAGGCTTCTGTGGATGCTGCTGGGGGGAGTTCGCCAGCAGCAGCCTACTTCCCTGCCCAGCACGGTTGCCCCAGAGGCAGCTGCTCACAGACCCTCAACGCCGCCAGAGGTGAGGAGGCTGTCACTGCACCCTGCTCCCCTGAGTTGAGTCAGATACTTCCCTCCCAATTTCACAGACCAGGGACTTGGGGGACAATACAATTCTCTTTTGACGCAGATAACAGCTGTTTGTTAAATCAGGACAGCTGGGATGTGACTCAGTCCCCCGGGCCGTCTTTGCTGGGGTGCCTGTGTCCGCCTCAGCTCTGCCTGCCTAGCACTAGTAGAAGCCGGGCCCTGAGAAGACATGGACATGCATAAAAGCATCAAGGTGGGGGGGCACAGAGAAGGAAGGTGGGACTGAGGCTGCTGTGTTCCAACATGAGGGCCCTGTGTGGCTGGTCTCCTGCGACGGGAGGTGGCTCACTGCTGACGCTTAGTCTGGACTCACCCGTGGAGACCTGCACTGCCCACAGAGGAGGCAGGTGTCCGGCAACAGAACCACACCTGCAATCTGTTTCACTTTTTAAAAGGTAGCCTTTTCTTTATCAGAAAATAGCCTTCAGAGGAAAGTTTCCTTGAGTAAAGAAAACCCATTCCATTCAAATGAACGGTTCTGCAAGATTACATTGGGGCAGCCATTTCCACCCGAGGTGAGCTGGGATGCAGGTGTGTGTGTGTGTGTGTGTGTGTGTGTGTGTGTGTGTGTGTGTGTGTGTGTATGTAACTGTTCTCTGTGCCTGGCCTGACCTAGAGGGGGTATGCTGGGTGGGCCGGGCTCAGCTTAGTACAGTGTTTCTGCAAACCCCGTTGAGAAGGGGGCAGTGGAGGTGTGGGAGTAGAACAGCACTTAGGAATCAGGGTGGGCCTGCCCTGGTGGCAGGGTCAGCAGAGGACAGGGTGGGAGGGAGGGGAGAGGAGTGGAGAGGATCAGGACTTGGAAAACAGGCTTGAAGGGGCCTGCCAGGCCAGCAGTACTTACCCAGGGATGGGGCCCTTCAGGTGGGGTTTTCTAGGATCCCCACTTCCTTTGGGATTTTAGGAATCTCGGATGGCCAAGTATGTGCTATGTGTCTTGTGTAAGTGATTGATTGTTCTGGGGGAGGAGGACGTAAGCTCTTCTAGGTTTATGGGGAGGGGCTGGTTTGTCTGCTGTAATTCTCAGGAGATGCCTTCTGTGGCAAAGTCCTCCAGGTCGTCGGTGGAGATGATGCCCAGGTTTGCAGCACTTCCCCCCTCCTCCCCCGGGCTCTGGGGGGGCCCCTCAGGACATGTGCCTGCTGGGTGGTCACCGTGAGGCCCAGGGACTGGCAGCAGCCCAGGATGGTGGGGCCTCTGGGACCCAGAATGAGCTGCCTCCCTGTCAAGGGCGCCCTGCCTCAGGAAGGTGGGGGCCGAGAGCTGTGAGGAGCAGCGCAGAGGTGTCAAGGCTGTTACAGGCAGGGCTTGGAAGCCGGGGTACAGCACATAGGGAGCAGCAAGTGTGTCTGGTGGGGGCAGCTCTGGGGAGCCCCCCTCAGAGGATGGGATGGAGACCTGGATGTATTTGCCTGTCTCCGGGTCATAGAAGGTCTTGATTTTCACCTGGAGGGGCAGATCGAAGACAAAATACTCTCCAGATTGGGGGTCTTGGAGAACCTTCTGGGTGGCAGGGTAAGGGGGTGGGGGCGTGAAGGACTGAGAATCCCCAGGCTGCCCCCTGATGGCTTCTGAGAAGGCAGACACTGAGTGGCGGTGCACAGGAGCGGGCAGGGAACGAACAGCAGGAAACCTAGGCTGGGGCCTCTCTGTGGGAGATGGAGGCCTGTACTCTGAATCCTCTGGGTGGGGCTTCTCCTCCCGGGGTTCACCACGCTTTTCCTGCGTCTGGTCAGTCTTTCTCCTCTTGCTTGCCAGCTTCTTTGCCCGCCGCAGGGCCTTCTCTGTTTTAGGTGGGACTGCAGGCGGCTTGCCAGCTGCCCTCTCCAGCTGAGTAGGAAGCTCCGGTTTTTCAGGGAGGCCTGACAAGCAGGCGGCCACATCTAGCAATGAGCTTCTTGGAGAGAGCGTCCTGAAGTCTTCTCCTGATGGCTCAAGAAGGGGGTCACAGCCAGTCTCCCACATGAGGGCATGTGTCAGGTCCTCCCTCCGGGTCACCCTGGCAGGGCCAGGGCTGGCCCAGGGGCTGCCAGGGGCCTGGGAAGCGTTGTCCCACATGCAGCTGGTAGCAGGGGAGCATGCGCTGCTCTCGTCCAGGGAACTGGAGTTGGGGGAAGCTGCCGTCTCACTGGGGACCAATCTTCTCCCCTGGAACCCTGCTCTTGGTGTAGATAAGAAGTGACTTTTGAAATCTTGCACCTGCTCTTCCCAACAGGCTCCAAGTTGCTGTGGGGGTGGCTGGTCTTCTAAGTCGTCTTCAGGCAAAGCAATTGTGGGGATGCACCTTGGAGCATCCGGTCTCCCTTCCTCTGTGAATCTACTCTTGCCATCACTTACCACACCTTCCCGCGCAGCCTCTGGGGGTGGCTTCATCCCTTCACCCTCCTCCAGAAACAGAGGAAATGGAGCATTTCCTTTTAGAGCTGGCTGAGAAGTCTCTGTCCTCACCGTGCTGGACACTTGCCCGAGGTCCTCCATGCCCTCACCACCTACATGCTTCAAGTGTGTGCCCCGCCTGCTAGCAGGTGTCTGGGTGCTGCGCCTTCCCTGGCTTTCAGGGATACAAAGACCAGTGTCCTCACCCCAGCCTGGTCTTGGCAATTCCCCTTCCTTGTGACCACTGCCAAGGGGATCCTCCGAGGACATGGTCCTCAGAAGAGGCAGCATGATGGGTTTGATCACAGGGGTGGCCCTGAGGGTGTTGTCTTTAATTGCAAATAGTTTGTGCTTGTTTAAAGCAGAAGATGGCGAGGGGGTAAGGTCTTTGGCATATGACAAGGCAGTATCCTTACTTCGCCCGATCCTACTGCCTCTGAAATGATCTTCCTCCCTAGATGCCCTCCTGGGTCTACCTCCAGACAATCTCTCCCCTTCCCCTGGCAGCGATCCGCCCTGGCTGAGCTCCTCGGTGCACTCATCCCCGTTACTGAGGGCCTGGTGCTGCAGCTCATCTGTCCCCATCACTTTCCCCTGGTCCTTCTCACTGTCTCCTGCACCCACGTCATTCCTCCTGTCTTCCCGCTGGCCCTCAGTGAACCATGTCTTCTGCTGATCCTCGAATGAGGCAAAGGACTGATCTGAAGAGCTCGTGCTGAATTTGGCCTTACTTTTGAGGCCCGGTATAAAATCTGACTGGCTGTCACTATAGAACACATCTTCCTCCTCGGGAGAGAGGGGTCCTGGGGAGAATTTCTGATTGAAGTTTGGATCCTGGAGTCCTGCCTCTCTCTCCGGTTCTGTCTCCTGAGAAACAGACCTCACGAACCCACTCTCTAGGCTGGGAGCCTTGGGTTCCTCTGCGGTCTTCCCTGCGTCGGGCTCTCTAGGGCAAAGCTGCAGTGACAGGTGCTTCCGGGCGCAGTGTTCCCTGGAGTCTGGACACCAACTGGACCTGGCGGCACCCTCATCCGATTCGCCATCAGTGTCATCCTTCTCATAACTGTTCCCGTCGGCAGGCTCCCTGTTGACACAGAAGGGGGCTTTGGTGGGAGTTGGAGGCGAACGAAGGGTTAGAGAGTTGTCTGCAGAGCTTGCAGTGGGGTTGGCTTTGGGGTCCTTCTGGGTACTGGCATGTGACCCAGAAAGGGCATTAGCTGGTCTCTCCTCAGAAAGCTCCCCCAGAGGACTTTCCTCACAGCCATTGGGAAGGATGACGCCGTTGCTCATGGGTTCTTGCTTGCTTCTGGTCTTCTCGTCCAGGCCTTTTAGGAGAGGAGAGGGGCTGTATGTGCTCTTCACACACTTGCGCACATCCTTGAGGTTGAAGAGCAGGCTGGGGACTTTGGATTTGTAGCTGTCCCGAGACTGACCTTCACTGGGCTCCTTCTCTTGGTATCCATTTATCTGTCCGGGGGGTGAGGGGGTGAGCTCTTTAGGCAGGCTGTCGGATGAATCCAGGATGTGCTTGGTGGGTATGATGGGGGTCAGGAGCTTACTGATGTTGAAAGGTGGACTGTAATGCTCATCAGGGTTGGCAGGCATGTCAAGAACATCATTTTCTGGAAATTGCCCCTGGGGATTGTGCTTGCTGTATAAGCCTGAGCTTCTCCTGTTGGTCTGCTTCTTTTCATCTGAAGCATCTTGTAGATTTTCTTTTGCTCGTTGACCTCCTTTGCCAGTCTTTGGTTTCCTCCATGGGACCTGGGTCGATTTCATCTGAGGTTCAGGCTGGCAGCTGGAAGCTTTTCCCTCCATGGTGAATACCTGGGACCCTGGATCCCTAGGTCCCCAGGTTCCAGATGTGGAGACAGCGCCTCCTGCCAGTCTGTTCTCTTCCTGATTGCAGCTGATCCGGGCTTGGCAGGGAGAGACTTTGTGCTCAGGGGCATGGTGCTCTCTTAACGAGGCCGTGTCCTCATAGTGTTTGGGAGCTTTGCTCTCCGGGGAAGCATCAGTCACATCCTTTCTCTCAAGCAGCCTTGGTTGGTGGGCATTCCAGGACTCAAAGGCACTGTTTTCACTGTGAAGAAAGGTCCCCTTGTGAACCCACTCCTTGCCTCGTCCCGGCTCACAAGCGACTGGCTTGTGGGGCGGAGAGGGGAACCTCGACTCAAATGAGTTGGCAGCATCCTCAGGTGTCGGGAGGAAGCTGCTGGAGCTGTGACAGGCCAGGTCAGGATTGTTGGGGGGCTCCTGCTCTCCAGGCTTCCTACCAGACTGGTGGCTGCTCTGATGGGTGCTGGAGACTTCCGCGGGCACTCTCCTGACAGTCAGAAAGGCAGAATCGAAGCAGAAGTTGACACCACTTTCTGGAAGAGGGGCAAATTTGGGGGGATTTTTGAAAGATGGAGGCTTGCTGGTAGGAGGCCTGCTGTCGCAGCGCTGGCTCTCAGCACCATCAAAAGACTTAATTAGGGACGACACTTTGGAACCCGGCTTGTTGCTCCTCAGGCCAGAAACTGGCAGCTCCAGTCTCCTCTGGACTGGTGTCAGTGGGGGACTGCTTTTGGGGTACTTTTCCTCCCCTTGCACATACTTAGGCTGCTGCTGGAACGTGGCTGCCCAGCCCGCATGCTCGGTGCCTTGTGATGGTAACTGGGTCCAAATGCCACTTTTCCTGTGGGTGTGGCTCACCATTCCCTGGTGAAAATTCCCAAACACTTGGCGACTGATATCTGGGGACAGGGCCAGGTCAGAGTCATTGAAGGATGTGTCCTCTGAGATGCACAAGCTCCGGAATGCCCGGTCAGTAAGGCTGCTGACCTCCCTGTCCGCATCGTCCAGCACGCTGCCGATGCTCGAGGAGTCGCTGAAGCCATCTGTGCACTTCTTATTGCCCTGCATCGTCTGCCAGCTAGGAAGTGTCCAGGGTCAGCCAGTGGGCACCTCTGGGTGATGATTCTGGAAGGGTTAGATGCAGCTCTCTGCATACAAATTAGAACTTGTTGTTGATCAGATGCAATTGCAAAGGGCGATTTTCTTCTCTCTGCAAAAGGAAGAAGGGCAAGGTATAAACAAACTATTCAATTTGGTAGCTCTGTATAAGACTCACATACTAGTCCAGATGGGGCAATGGTGCCTGCGATAATTGTATGTGTTAACTTAGATGGGCCTTGGTGTCTGGTTTTTGGTCAAATCCAGTCTAAATGCTGCTATAAAGGTATTTTTAAAAAAGATATAATTAACATTTAAATCAATAGACTCTGAGTAAAGCAGATTTTCCTCTGTAACATGGGTGGGCTGCATCCAAAAGGCTGAGATCCCCCAGGAAAAGGGAATTCTATCCCTAGTCTTAGGACTGGAGCTGGAACCCTAACTCCTCCTTGGATCTCCAGCCTGCCCTCCAGCAATCAGACTTGGCAGTCCCAAAATTGATGAACCAGTTCCTTAAAATAAATTTCTTTCTTTAGCATCGGTTCCTCTGGAGAAATTTCACTGTGTCATTTTTTCAGAGACCTTCTCTGGCATTCCTTGGAGTGCCCCCTCCTCACTCTCTCATAGTTCTAGGTTTACTTTCTTTGTGGTACTGAGCACAATCTAAGATTAATGTTGCCTCTCTGCTGCCTATTCCTTCATCAGACTGTTAGAGCCAGGAGCTCAGGAGCCACTAGGTGGTCCATTCTTCTATGCCAGAGCCTCCTCAAGAAGGCACAGTCCCCCAGAGCCTGCATCGCTGGGTTTCTTAACTCTCTGACTTGCCCTTGGGTGTGGCCAATGGGCAGTGCTGGGAAGAGCTAGGAGGGAGGGGAGTCAGCGTCCCTAGCATTTCTCCACACCTCCTGGTTCTGGCACACTGCGGTTGTGTCCAACACAGCCCCCTCCCTGGGTGCCGACTCGCACTGGGCCCAGCAGCACTGCTTTCCTGGTCCCCGATGTGGGAAGATGACTCCCACTCTCCCCGAGTGACTCCACACCTGGTATCTCATAACTCTGCCTACATCTTTTTATCACCCCTTCCCTACATTCTCTTCCCCCTCCCCTCTGTCCCTGGCAACCGCTGCTCCTGTCTCTGGACTGACTACTTCTGGTAGCTCATATGAATGGAATCAGACATTATTTGTCCTTTTGTGACTGGCATATTCACTTAGCATAATGTCCTCGCGATTCATCCATGTTGTAGCATGTATCAGAACTTCTGTCCTTTTTAAGTTGGAATACTATTCCCCTGTACGGAATAGACTACATTTTGCTTATCCCTGTGTTTGATGGGCATACCCTCAAGTAGCTTGTTTCTACCCTCTGACATGTGGATATTGCTGCTATGAACATGGGTGACCAAATATCTGTTTAAGATCCTGCCTTCAGCTCTTTTGGGTGTATACCTCACAGTGGAATTGCTGGATCATAGGGTAATTCTATTTTTTGGAATCCCTGTACTGTTTTCCACAGAATATATTCCCACCAACAGTGCACAAAGGTTCTAATTTCACATCTTGACCAGCACTTGACAGTGTCTGTTTCTTGTGTTTTTTTTTTTTTTTCTTTCATAGCTGCTATCCAAATGGGTATGAGGTTTGGACCCCAACGATGCTACTTCCCGCTGGGGCCCACCACTACCACTGGGGTACATGCCTAGAACAGACCTGGCCCTGGCCAGCAGTAAGGAAATGAGTATACAGAAAGTTAGATGAATGGTATGGACAGTCCCCATGGTGGGCCCAAGTGGTGGGCCTTTGAGACAGCAAATGTTCACAGGCTGCGGTGAGTCAGCTGACATTGCCCCATTCCCATCAGCAGAGGGAGCTGGTTACAGTAAAGACAGTGTCAGGGCTTTAGGGGAGGGGAGGTGGAGGTGTTGTGGGGTACAGCACCGGTCCTGGGTCCCATCCTGACTCATATGTGAGACCATGCAAGAGGCATCCCACGTGGGCCCTGCTGCTCTTGGCTCCGGTGCCAGACTTCCTTGGGGTTTATGTTTCCTGTGTCTTGACCACAGCACTCCAGTGAGTTTTCAGTGCTGATTCATTGGCAGGCTGGCTTTTTTTTTTTTTTTTTTTTTTTTTTTTTAATGAATGAAAGAATTGAGCTGGGGTTGCCAGAGAAACGAAAGGACATTCATTCTAGCCAACTGAATGAGCTGGTAAGGAAGCACTGGAAAAACCTGTGGTTACGTACTCCCCAGTCCTTGAAAGTCATGCCTGTTTCCGTCCCTAGTTGCATAGGACCGCCTTCTAGAAAGTCACCTGAAAGGGGACAGTGTCAACCTTTACCCTGCTGGCTGGTCCACTTCACTCCTTTCTCCAACCCATTTTCCCTCACCCAAAGGTTGTGGAAGCTAAATGCTCATGTCTTCTGACTCCTGAGCAGCTAGTGGGGGCATGGAGGCTGTTCTGGTCCCACGACTGGAAGATTCTGATGCCTGGGAAAGTTCTTGCCTTTTTGATTGCAGGAACGATCCTGTTATCACCACTTTGCCCAAGTTATTTCCTCCCGCTTTGAGTGTAGACACGAAGCCTGAAACTGCGTGTATTTGTTTGCTAGTGCCATAAACAGATGTCTTTGAAATAACAGCAATTTGTTATCTCACAGCTCTGGAGGCTGCAGTTCTGAATAGAGGACCTCAAGACACCCCCTGCCCCCACCCTGTAGAATTTACGCGGTAGGTGGGGAGCTTAAGTGGCTTTGTTCTTTATAAGTTAGTTTTTTAGTACTTTGATACCGACTGAAGATACAGTCAGTGAATGTTCCGGTGTCTTGATGCTGGAGTTTTGATCTGGGCAATAATTAAACTTGGTAACACTGGAGTTTCTATACTTCTACCTTAAGATGAAAACAAGATAGTTGGAGACCTACATTTAGAAACCTGGAGTTAAGCAAACACTGCCAAGTCAATGCAATACCTACTACTATTAGCAGATACTTATTTTTTTCTTTTGAATATTCAGCTTTTATCTCCTTCCTCTGTTACCATAGAACCCTGACTGATCTTGGGTTTGCATCATAACTCCAAACAATAAGGATGTTCACTTAATATTCAGAAAACAGCCACAGTCCTTCTGCCTCATGGAAAAGAGAGTCTTCCTTCTTCTTCTTTTTTTTGTTGGTGACCTGTTTATTTTTTAAAAATTTTATTTTATATAATTCTTACATCATTTTTCATTTTTGCACAATGTATGCATTTTCATTTTGGTTATATTCCCCATCCAATTCCCACCCTCCTTATTTTGACCCTAATCCCTCCTTCCCTCCCCACCCCGCCCAGTGTGTCTTTGGTTTATAGTTACTTGTTGATTTTGATTTTTTCTTTATTATAATTAGTCTTTTTCCTTGTCCCTTATTTATTCAGGCTAGTTTCATTCAAACAACTTCTTTAACTCTTACTTGATTGACCCAGTGTCAGAAGGAACAGTCATGGAGTTGACCCCACCTTCTGCCACCCAATGGACTCTTTCAGCATAGCAGCTCCCACTCCAAGATGTTGCCAGATGATTCCATACCTGTTATAGCAGTGGGGACTGCAGGTGCCTGCTCCTCTGGATTTTAAAATCAGTAATTTTCAAACTTACTTTCATGCTTATATTTGTTGTCATCACTGCTCATCTAGAAAGAAGGAAGAAGAAAAACACTCTTAGTGGAAATCAGCCGATCAAAAGACCAAGCACAAGGACAGTGCAAAAAAAAAAAAAAAGGTATCTTTAAATGTCGATAGTATACCTGGTCTTCAGAAAATATTTTAATCCACATTTGAACCCAATAAAATTCCAAGCATAGGCATTTTTGGTGAAAACCAATATAGGGCCAATTCATAACCTTCTCAATATTCATTATTTTGTCTGTGGTCCAAGAGATCTTCAGGAACCTGTTTTAACCTTTTGGGGTTTCTACCATGATTGGCCCCACTTGTGAATTATTTTTTTGTTAGTCAAATCTGATAAAAGACCTTTTTTCTACCCATGGGAATTAATAACTCAGATTTTGCACTAAAGAGAACTGGAGTGGCTGAATTTGAATCCGCTCAGCAAGCAGCAGAGCTTCGATTTATAGTTGGCAGGAGATTTGAGTATCTATTTTGACATCTAAAAGAACCAAAAAGCTGCCCAGGAGAATTTTAAGAGTGTTCAGAATGAAGTGTAAACTAATTAAAATAAATCCACTATGCAAATTTTAAATGTAGACCACTGGGACCTTCATAAGACCTTCTTCATCTCACAGCTCCTGGATATTCATCTAATCCAAGGTAGTTTATAATAACAACTCAGCTTTGTGGTGCACATGTTTTTGGAGGCTCACAGAGGCACTCTGTCCACCGCTGTCCAGTTGGCCCTACCTCTGGCTCCCAGACCATCCTTGTGTCCCCACAGCGTGCTGGGTTTGCCTTCTTATGCTGCATTGAGACAAATCTACACCATAGGAACTGCTGACTGCTTCTTGCTTACCTCAACTGGAAAGGACATTCCTGGAATCCAGGGAGTCTTATTTGCTTTTGTATACTGAGCAACCCAACATAGAAAGTGAATAAATGGGGCAATACTCTGAATTGGGTGTCTTTATCTCAATTTGCTTTCTGGAGGACAAATCAAGGCATGGAAAAGAAGGAGCAAGAAAGGAGAAATTATACTGAGAAGGCCCCATGGTCTTGGGTCCTCAGGTCACTTGTAAAATTCAGATTGACTCATTGACTGAGTTGTGAACTCACGCTCTAGCCTGCAGCTCCACTGCGGTACAATTTGGTGATGAGGATGAAATCCACCCATGTTGCACATGGATGAGATGGATGCGGAAGGAAGTGGTGGTATCTATTTTGTGGACATTTAAGGGACTTATCATTCTGTGGTTGGGTTATTGACTTGCTCTCATGCTGCTGAAATGCATTTCCCAGAGTTCAGCACAAAACTATCGTCTCTCTGCTTTGGATTCTCTGAAGGAAGTTGCTCTGAATTGGTGAAAAGTCTGACTTGTAGAGAGCTTTTCAGACAAAA